GCTTTATACATAACCTGCAAAATATTATGATCAACCAACTCGTAAAATTTCAATAATTTCAACTGATAAAATAATATATTTGATGGGTGACTAATTTTTCTGGTGATGATTCTTACGGCTCTTTTCTGTAAAATAAAAAAAAGTTAAGAGTTATTAAGTGAAACGACTGAAATGTGACTTTTATACAGCCAAGCATCATGAATGAAACGATTTGTCGTGTCCCCCCGCTTTAAGGTATTACACCCTGCTTTGCCGAGAGTGATTTTGCTCTAATTCGTGCGATAACCCGGGGTCAGCCCAGGTCCTTTCCGCTCTGCGTGACACACAATCTGCAGTTTACCACCTTCCTATTGTATGTGAGAGAGGTCGTATATTAGTTCTGGAGATGTCAGATTGTGTATTTGCAGGATCTACAGGCTCTGCACGAGACGGAGAGGGATGGAGAGAGATGCAGCTGAAAGATGAGGTTTGCATTATGGGGGAGGGGAAAAAGTGTTGACAGCTGTCAGTCATTCTGCMAGTCTCCATAGAGACTAGGCTGTCAAATTTCACATCTTCAGTCCATGGAGGGTCAAACACTGACTCTAATTGGGGCTGACTGAAAGGTTGTTACGATATGATGGAGGTCTCTTTGCATAGTGATTTTTTTTAATTGTTTATCTTATTTTATGGTAAAAAGGGGATGGAGTTTATACTATTTGTTTCCTAGAATAAGGATTATATTAAAAGCAGGTTTAACACTGATGGTAGTTTCTTGTCTAATTGGTTTGTAATGTTATTTAGCTATAAATTAAAACTAGCTGTACAACCTGATGTGTTCTAATTGTTCAGGGTAAAAGGTCATGCTCTTAAATGAATAAACATCAATAAAAATAAAAGTTTGCTGCAGATATCTTCCATGGAATTAAGAAATATTTTTCAACTAAATTTATTGGTTAACTTTGGAAAAAAAAGTATGCAAAAGGTTGGGCTTCCTGCAGTGCTCACACTTACTTAACTACATCTCAAAGTGTGTGTGTGTGTGTGTGGGGGGGGGGGGGGTTGACTACGCAATAAAAATTTTCTGCCACATCTGCATTTGTTTTAGTGCTTGATGTCAGCAATGTGTGGTCATGATGAAAAAATGTTACTGCTGTGGTGCAATCTGCTCGCCGCTTTCCTGTTTTGGAGCTTCTTGAATCTGACATTTATTYTCCTCGTGACCCAAGGGAACATTCAAATTAAAAAAAAACTTCCTGATCTGCATGTTCTGTCTGATTATCATATTTCATTTCAAAGCTTTTTTTAAACAACAAATTTAAAGTAGAAGCGTAAGCTTTCTAACAATGCAGTAAAAGTTATGTTCAGTT